AGAGAGAGAGAGAGAGAGAGAGAGAGAGAGAGAGAGAGAGAGAGAGAGAGAGAGAAATTATAAATCTCCTTTAAAGAAAATATTTTTAAATAAAATTACCTCTGGATGATTGCATATAGTAGTGTGGTATTTTTTCATTGGAAAGTAGTCTCTTAAAGAATAAATAGTCTTTTAATTTTATAAAACACAAGTTCTCGAGCAGATCACAATTTTAGACAAACCTGTAGATGAATACAGTATGGGAGTTCAGAGAGAGGTTGAGGAGGAAATTTAAAGGTGGGCAGGCAAGAGTATTTGAATGCTGAGTTCTGCCTCTCTTCTCCTCCCAAGGCTCTTTATGTCACGTTTCAGAACATAAATAGCACAGAAACATTCCCGGCGAGGGATAAAGGGCAACCATTATACAATCGCGATCCTGAAAAATCTCTGCCTAACAAATCCATGTCAGACACTCACTTACCCAGATTCCCACAGCCTTGACTACTAAAATCTAAGACTTCTGTTAACACACAGTGCAGCAATTATTTTACAAAATACGATTGTCTTAATAATTACTGCTTCCCTGGCATCTTCTCCAACAGTTCCCTTGTTACACGCCATGTCAGCGTCTCCAGAAGGAACACTCCTTTTTGTGCATGTGACTATTTTTATCTGGACAAGAATGTGAAAGAGCCTGTTATAAAATAAAGTGATTTCCCACAGTGTTTGGTCTGGGAAGACTATTCTGGGAGATCTACTCATGGTACTGCGGCCTTATGGAGGTCTGCTTTAAATTACACACGTCACTTCTGAGTACTGGAGAAGAATCTACTTTCCACAAACTGTTTGAACTCTGAGCCCACTCACCCTTTCTCCCTCCCCTCCCCTTCTAGCTCTCTCTCTCTCTCTCTCTTTCTCTCTCTCCCTTTCTCTCTCCCTCTCCCTCTCTCTCTTCTTTTGCATCTCCTCTCCATTTCCCTCTCCTTCCTTTCCTACTTCCATCCCGCTTCTTCCCTTTGACTTTTAGTAGATCCTCTTTATCAGCAATAACATACAATTCCTCCTCTCGGAGCTTCTGTCTTTGTAGCAGCCTTCACGTAGTCTGCCGGATCTGTTTTCTTTACACTTGTAATTCTTAGTTCTAATTCTATGATATCATCCCTTTGAAACTTAAGCCAGATGTGCTCCGTGGTTACATCTAAATTTCCGTTTTGGATATTGCACCTAAAAGATGGATTTCCAAGGACTCCTTTTCATTTTGCTCGATGACTAAGTTCTCCTTTATGGATGGAGATAATCTTAAAACATTTTGTTCCTGGTGGTGTAGACTTGCAATTCCAGGCACTTGAGAGGGTGGAGCAGGAGAATCACTAATCCAAGGCCAACCTGGACTGGAAAGTGAGTTCATGGCCAGCCAGGACAAGTCAGTGAAATACAATAGACTAAGGAAAGAGGTCTTGGGAGTTAGCTAAACAGACCTCACTCAGCATGACTGAATCTCTAGTTTCGACCTCAAGTCCACACTCCAATAATAATAATAATAATAATAATAATAAATAATAATAAATAATAATAATTTAAAATAAATGTGTATATAAGTACTAGACATCAGTGAGTTTTAGAATGCTTTCTCATTTATCGTTCTTGTAATAGACTGGTGTATACACACTAGTTTCAGTTTACAGAAAGTCTCCTGCATGATCTTCTTTGAACATTCACAACTAGCTCTACGGAATCCCCCACCGTAACGGACTTCTCCTTTATAGACTACTATAAAAGTATATTCCATCCCAGTAAGCCATGATGTATGTGCTGCCACTGTATACCATATATCCTCTGGTTACACAGACACACATTCTATCAGCAAGAGTCAACAAGATGAAGATATTAATACCGTTTTTGAGTAATTTAAAAACCCGGTTGACATGGTTACTAAGCTTGACCTGTAAATGTTATGCCTCCACTATTCTACCTAATTTGTGAACGTGTTTTGCAGAAGAGTCTCTCATTTGGAAATACTAATCCAAAGGACTCCTTTATTCAAGGTATAATGTTAGTAATTAACTCAATTATATGGGCCTATTTTTCATTTTTTTTCCGCAAAGGAGAAACGATGAATACCTCACCAATTTTCAAAAGATTTCAAAGCATGCCTGAGACTAAATAATCAAATGGCTTTGCTAATTTTTCTCTGCATGTATTCTTATAATTGCAATTATCTTTTCAAGGTAATGATCCTGTATTTATTTTACTTTTAAATTATTCCTGAGATGTTTATGGTCATAAGGTCTTAGTTTTCTACTAGCCTCATAAAAACTGAAACGTGATAGCTAAAAGTAATTATAACTCAGCTGGCCACCCTTTTTGCCTTCTCAAGAAAATTTATGTCAGGTTTTCTGTGAACACTTAGAGTTTTTTTTTCTTAAGCTAATTTAGTTTTTTTTCTCAAAAGAAAGATAAAATTTTCATTAGCTTATTAATTCAGTCATTCATCAGTTCATTCATTCCTTTTATCCACGGTACTGAGGACTGAATCCACTGTCTCGTGCATGCTAGGCAAGGAGCTGTCCCTGAACCACAGCCCAGCCCTAATGAGCTTCTTTTTATTTTTTCGTTGATTTCTGTGAATTTCATGCATGTAGATAATGAAATATAATAATATATGACCCCTACACCCCATCCAACTTCCCTCAGACCCCTCCAACACAAACACACCACACACCATACACACACACACACACACACAGCACACAGACACCACACATACCACACACATACACCATACACACACCACACATATACCACACACACACCACACACACACCACACACATACCACACACACACCGCACACACACACACCATACACACACCACAAACATGCACCACACACACACACACCACACACATACACACACACACCCATACCACACATACACACACACACCACACCACATACATACAAACACACCACACACACACCATATATGATCCACTAATTCAAGTATTACTCCCTATGTACATGAGTGGTATCCATCCACTGGC